AACCAGGTCTTCGAAGGCCTAGCAGCAAAAACCATTGTCATATTCGGAATCAGCATAGTCGATAACCTATTCTCCACTAGATTTCAACAAAAAAGCGAGCGGACACTTGGGGCAGTTCCCTCGTTAGATCCATTTACTTCGCTTATATGTATGCATGCACATATGTATGTATTAGTATACTCGTTAAATGCATGATAAGAAAAAAGTGAAAAAATGGTCAGGTTCACCGAGTGATTTACGTTTTGTACTAACGATAAGACTATGAATAAGACGTCATCGTAGCGAATTACTCATTTCATTAAAGAAATGTGGAGCACCTACATATGCAAACTTACTTTATAGTTTTCTAATTTTCCATTTGTTGATCTAATTTGAATGCCACTTTTCATGACATTTTGAATCTGTTCAACTATATTATTCCATAACAAATTCCTGTCTGGCTTTACGCCACCCAACCACGCAGCAAGTACGATAACCGTTAACTTATAACTTTCCACCGACGTGAGCAATAGGCACGCCATCTGTATATAATAATAGAGTTAAATGTTTGTTTTCAGTGCTGGACGGTAAAGCTTTATGGATTGAGCCATGAATTATATCACATGGAACTAGAGTATTGGCTAGGACTGTAAAAGTTCCCGTTACGTTGATTTAACGCTAACTGAGGGTGCAGTTACCGTTAAAACAACGGTAACTGGAAAGACAGTTAGCGTTACACCAACGGTAACTGAAAAGACAGTTACCGTTATTTTAACGATAACTGCCTTTTCAGTTACCGTTAAAATAACGGTAACTATCAGTCAGTTAACTTTACGCTAACTTTTTTTAATTATGCTAGAAATAGCCACACAGCGGAAGGCTAGTAAGCGTTCGTATGTACAGAATCACTAAAAACCAAATTACCGTTATCGTCCACTATCAAGTTTATTAATCAGTGAAAATGAAATGTGACAACAAAATCTGCGTAGTCATATACTAATAATTTTGCCTTTCAAAAACATACAAATTTTTAGTGTTTTTGGCATTAATGAGCATCTAGTTTTTCGTTGAAGGTAATTCGCAGTTGAGAAAGCTGCCTCACTAGGCACACTGGTAGCAGGTATTGCCATGAACATTTTCACGATCGTTGCTAATTGCGGCATGGCCAGTGAATATTCTTTCCAAAACGACGTTGAATCATGAGTCATGATTCAACATTTTAGTTAAACGCAAAGCAATCAAACAATTTCTTGAAAGAAAGTGTTCTTAAGTACGGTAAAACCCTAGAAACATTATTGTTTGACCCACTGAGAGTGACGAGCAATATAAACTTAGCGTCTATGATTATTTCCTGAAACTTAATTTTCAAAATATGAGTATGAGAAATGTAAATTAATAAGGAGAAAGGAACAGTTAGTGTAAAGTTAACTAACTGATAGTTACCGTTATTTTAACGATAACTGCCTTTCCAGTTACCGTTGTCGATAACGGTTGAAGAAGTAACGGGAACTTTTACAGTCCTAGTATTGGCTAACATATATTCTTCAATCAAGTTAATGTATCGTTCGGACGTTTATCTAAGATGCTCGTAGGTCAAACTCAGAGTGAAATTTCTTTTTGACTTTATTATACATAATCTGAATCGCCAGGTCGAGCTGATCACGAATATCACCTTTTTAGTTCGAAAAAATGAAATCTTGATGGAGAAAAATGCGAAATACTGAGACGAGGTCGAAAAAGCTAAAAACTGTTCTTTTTCAGAAAATGGTTCACAATTTCTTCCCTTTACATTTTTAATTATTCTTAATATTTTCAAATTCTACGTTGAAAACTGATTCTAGAGAGGTCTCTTTCAATGACATTTGGTCAAAACTGAAATTTTGGCTGAGCTCAGAACTGGCTAAGCTCAGCGGTCGATACCCTCAGCTTGCAAATCTATCTAGTTTTTTGGGTTAAGGGATAGGTCCCCCATTCACATATCGTTAGATAGCCCTTTGTTTAGTCTGGTCTTGACATTTGCTGAGAAACAGGCACTGATCAGATCCCTGACCAGGAATGGATACTGTTCACAGAAATACAAGTTTTATAATAGAATCACAACCTTCTCGAATTGATACAACCGAATTTGGATGTAGTGAAATGTTGTTATGTTTGGATATAGTGGTTAATATCAAATAGTTGTTGTTCGTAAATCTGTTCCTCTTCTTGTTCGTTGTTGTCCATTGCCACTCCTTCATTTCCACCATCATCCTCATATACACCCTCACCTTGACGATCCAAATTAGCTCTATCGCATTTACTTGAAATATCCATTTGAACAAAATCGTTTGCTGGAATTTTTTCCATCAGCTCATGAGAAATAAGTTCTTTGGTATCAGTACACACATATTGTTGAAATAACATAAGAAGGGAAGTGTAGAGTGAAGCAGTTTTGTTGATAAAGAAGAAACCAGCGTACCACAACATCATTATACAGCTAGCTCTTATTAGTACGATGGTGATTTGAGCGTAAATCACGACTACGGATACAGCAGATAATTTTTTCAAAAACCTTGACCAATCACATATGAGTATTTCAGATGTAAATGTGAAAGGTTGGTAAAGGGCTGAACGGATACTGAAATCTAGGCAAAGCTAAGCGTCTTACTAAGAAGAAAACAGAAGAGAAGCAACCAGTATATGTACCTACCAAACGTCTGTTTCTTCTTGAATTTTGGATATCTCGAAAGCGTCTTTTCCATATACGCATGTACTCAGTAGATTTATTCTTGTAGTCATATAGAGAATTCATGCAGATATAAAAGTAAAAAATGCCGCATAACGCTTAGCTTAGTTATTCTTTATGTGTATTATGTTGTTCACCAGTGATGAAAGGACGAAGCAAGCGTCCGATGAAATAAAAAACGATGGTAATAATTCCCAATCCCACCCGTCTATTGGATTATGCAAGACAGGGGAAAATGCTGATGTTAACAGTAACAAGGCAAATATTATATAAAATATTTATTTTGACATAGTCCAACTGAAACGCCTGTTCTCTACTTTCCTGTCAAAACATTTCAGGAGCTGTAGTTAACTGAAGACTAGAATAGCGCTTCTAATCATTGACAGACAACGGTAAATGTCCACCTAATATTCAGTAATAATCTACACTGGTTTCTACCCTGAAAATAATTTCGTCCAAGTTGCAGTCCACTTCACTTTTTGAAAACTCACTTTGCTTTCAACTAATAGAGTAGCGTGGTTCTGCGCAAGTTGAATAGGTATGCATCAAGGCAAGGGAGCTTGTTTTTGAGCCGATCAGGGCACTTACAAGAACAGATAACAGTTTCTGTAAAAAAGAGTTTCTCGTTTTTTGTTCACAGAAAAAGCGTACTCTATTGCTTGTGAACAATGCTCTTAATAACACTGTTTCTTTCTTTCTTTGTTTTCCCAGATTTCATTACTGTTTCTCTATTCCTGCGCTTATCGGATCAATCGTACTATACTGGTCAGCAATATACTGACGCCCTCTAATGTATATGAATTCTTTATTTCTGTGAACAGTATCCATTCCTGGTCAGGGATCTGATCAGTGCCTGTTTCTCAGCAAATGTCAAGATTAGACTAAACATTTCAAGACCAAACCAAGATTTAGTGTTTGTCTGGTCAGTAGAAAAAACAGATATTTTTGGTCTGTTCTTATCACTTTCTTGGTCTGATCTTGAAGCTGACCAGGAATCTCTAAAAATCTCACTTTCGATTTTTCCCCAAATGTCCACGTTGTTGCGCACTGTGAGTCAACCACCAGGAATTAAAGACTTAGCTAGTCCGTTGGGACATATGGGTATTATTTTAAGGGAGAAAGGAGAGTTTGAGAAAGCACGTGAATTACACTTTCAATCGTTAAAAATAAAACAAAATTATTATGGTGAACAACATCTAGAAACATCTGCAACACTTAATAACATTGCGCTAGTTTATAAAGACAAACAAGATTATCAGCGTGCCTTACAATATCATAAAGAATCTCTTAGAATCAAACATAAAATATTACAAGTAGAAGATCATCTTGACATTGCAAATAGTTTAAATAACCTTGGATTTGTTTATCGTCAATCAAATCAACTTGATCGAGCATTTGAATATTGTCAAAAATCATTAAGAATACAACAAAAATTACTTCCACCAGAACATAGTGCAATAGCAATGAGTTATCATACACCGCAGGTGTTTATCATGATCAAGGCAAACATGATTTGGCATTAGAATATTATAACAAGGCACTGCAGATTAGAAACAAAACATTTGCTTTCAATAATCATCCTGAAGTGGCGAGAAATCTATTTAGTATGGGATTTACTTATGAAAGTCTTGCAGAATTTTCCGTAGTACTGGAATATTTTCAAAAAGCGTTAGATATGAACCAAAAGTTTTTACCAGTTGATCATCCTGATATGACAAAATTAAACGATGCCATTGCAAGAGTTCAGCAGGAAATAAATAACTGATCATTAAACTTTTCTCAAAAGTTTATGGATCCCAGATCCAATGTTAGTCGACTTAAAAATAGCATCGGATCTGGGATCCATAAATACTACTCAGTGTCAGTATTACTAGCAAACACTTCTTCAAACAGACTTTGTTCGACGGCCCAAACTTTATTTTGAGTGTCTTGTAATAAATTCATCAGTAAATTTGGTAATATGAATGTGAAGATGTGCGAAAGGAAAAGGAAAAGAGTTATTCAGGCATCTAAGACTGCAGCAACAAACCAGTTAACAAGTTCAGGAAACTGTTACCATTTTAAATGCAGATTTTTCCTGATTGTTTCATTCGAAACGTTTTAATTCGTCATATTCACTAACTCTTTCCATTTGTACTGCTACGCCTACAATGGTCATTTGACCGTTGGACTTTTTATTAGAATCAATAAGATATAAACCTAGTCTTCATTTAAAAATTGTGCATCTTTCATTTTTACAAATGTCTTTTTAGAAATGATTACAATTCATCTAAAGCAATCCGCTCAACCATACCAAGAATTCATTAGTAGAAGAAAAAACTACTCTGTTGACTAGAGTATTTATGCTGTTATAGTATCAAGTGATGTGAAGACATCCGTTCAACGACGTCGTTAGTCGAGTACAACATTCATTCAGTTATCTAACTCTTTCCATAGAACGTAAAGTATTTCAATTGTTTTCCCATTCCTTATTTCTTACAGAGAGTTGAAGTGGGAAAAGTTATTTAACTGACAGTTTTGAATGACATTAATATTGATTTTTTCATCTTCAGATTTTCCTTCGTTTCTGTTGTCAGTTACTCACTAAAGATACAGAGCAAAACAACGCATAATGCCTACGACTAGCACGTTTCTTACATTGCTCTATTCGACCGTTATTTTATTATCGTCAGTTGGTTTACTATTTGGTACTGCTTTTCTTCTAATTATTTCCTGTCATCGTCCATCTCACACTGTTACTTATTTGCTTGCCTGTAACGTTAGTTTATCATCATGTCTTTTTTTCTTGATATCTTCCGCGCAGGCTATATCTGCTCAAATTTCTCACGCTGCTCACTCGTCTTCATGTACAGTAATTTCATTTTGTATGGTTGCCACTGCTGCATCCGTATCCTATTCTCTTATGTTACAAGCAGTAAGCCGACTTTTTTTTATTTTTTTCCATCGACATACGTATTTACTGACATTCAAAATGCATTTTATATTGATTTTTGGTGGATGGTTCATTAGTTCTACATTGCCAACAATACCGATATTATACTTGAATGCCTATGCCTATGAATCAACGTTGAACTTATGTATTGTAACCTCAAAATCAGCGTTGATTGTCTGCTATGTTATGATCACAGCTTGTCTAATTCCATTCTCAATCATTGGTGTTATTTATATGTATATTATGCATTATATTCAACGACAAAAGAAACGCGTTGAGCCGGTCATTCTTCTGGGAAAACCAACAGTAACAAGACGTAATTTAACTGTATTAAGAAACATTATGGTCTGTCTTTGTATTCTGTCAATAACGGGCCTACCATCGTTTGTTATTACGATTCTAATCCTCATTGATCGAGTAACCACTTATATAAGTATTTTCTGTACTTTATTTACTTTGATCGGTATTACAATAATGCAGATTGTGGCACTTTTTATGGTAAAAAGAGTTCAACAGAAATTTCTGCATTGGATTAGATGTCAAAAATGATAGATAGACAATACGTGAAGTTGACAAAAAACAGCATTTTCCATATATAACGCATGGTCCAACAAGTAACTTATAATTTCGAAAGGTTGCTCGTTGTCTCTAATCTGTATGCTATTACTTTCAGCTTTTTCTTTTGTTTCTTTCCTACTTTATGAGACCCACTTTATGTATTCACTTTATGTCGATCATGTATAACGTCCAGATAACCTGAACCCGCAGGCCTCTACAATTAAGATTTGTCTGATAATAATATCAAAGTGTGTGTCATGAAATCTAAGTTTATTTCATTTATTTCAAACTTCTTCGAAAAACATTTTTCAAGA